TCATCAATCCGGTGACAGGCCAGAGTCCACGTGCAGACTTCTGGCCTCGGCATCAATATACCACAATTATCCTTGCCTAGGTCGTCTGCCAATATATATAGCCGAACCGATGCAGCTTCGTACGACTCTCCTTCCCCTTTGACCTCGTTGGCAATCCCTAGTCTTTCCGCACACGTTTCCCTTGCGGAAGCTGGTCTTTTCCTCGATCTTACTTTCGATCCAACTAACCTTCTTCGTCCTGCTCACTCACACTCGTTCGCACTTGCTTAACCCACGAACATACTGCCTTCCTACTGTTTATTCTGATTTACCCTTTCTCGACCGTTCAACAAATCAACATCGCACCGTACTAACGATCAATGGTTAGCCGCACGTCTCTTGCGCTTGCCGTGTTTGCGGCGTTCGCGCGCGCCACATCCATGAACGAAGGGGATGTGATTATTCAAATGTTCCAGTGGAGTTGGGACAGCGTCGCAGCCGAGTGCACAAACTTCATTGGGCCAGCGGGTTACGGCTATGTGCAAGGTAAAGTCCGGCGAAACACATGGTTACTCTGCCACAAGATCTTTCTTCCCGTGATGCAGCTAGTATTGATCCATTGTCTTTGATGCTGCACAGTGAGCCCTGCCCAGGAAGCCTTGTCCGGCGACGAATGGTGGACGGATTACCAGTCTATCTCGTACAAGCTTATCAATAGGCACGGCGACAGCGACAGCTTCAAGTCGATGGTCGATACCTGCCACGAAGCGGGTGTCCGCGTCCTCTCTGATGTGATCCTCAACCACATGGCTGGCTTCGACAACGGTCGGTCCTGTCCTTTGTTCCGTGATTCGTTGCGTGTGTTGAAGCTCTGTTTTCACAGGCACGGGGACGGCTGGAGACAGTGCGTACTCAAATCTATCTGATTTGCTCCCTTCCAACATTGCAGTGCATAGCTTTCACCCATTACAACTACACAGAGTACAATTCCACCGTGCGTCGATTGGTATCTGATCACATTTGATGCTCACATTTTGTCCAGGACTTCCATTACTGTGGTACGACCGACGATGCCATCCTGGACTGGAGCAACGCTACACAGATCCGTCTTTGCCAGCTCGAGAATTTGGCCGAGTGAGTGCGCCAGACATCGTCTCATTCCAACGTAGTCGCTTAGTAGCCAATGAACTAGTTTGGATACGGAGGCCGACAACGTCCAGACAAAGCTTGCCGCGCAACTGGACGAATTTATAAATCTTGGGGTTGATGGGTGTGTTGTGAGTTCTTGTCAACGAGCATGTCCTGACTAACACTACTTCGCCAGTTTCCGTCTTGATGCTGCCAAGCGTCGGTATCCCTTGTAAATTACTGTGCACTGGGCATCTAACAAACCACCTCCAGATATTTATCCTTCCTCCATTGAGACTATCCTCGGCAAAGTGTCGGGCTCCTACTCGTACATCACGCAAGAGGTGTGTTGCAAAAGACACATTGCACCAGTACTCATGTAATTTCAGGTGGACTTCGACACTGGCGGGGACGGCGTATGGCCATCTGAGTACATCGACATCGGTATGCATATCCAGTTCCAAAAACGACGTTTATGTCGATGGTTAATGTTCGTACTTTTTCTCTCAGGTCAAGTCAATGCCTTTGAATGGGCCTACTACGGTCTTACTGCCTTCCTGGCGGATGGTCTTACTGCCTACGAGAACGTGGATACCATCGGTTGGAACTTAACGAGTTCCCAAGCTAATACATTTGTTGTGAACCACGACACGGAACGCGTGCGTAACCAGACTTTGCCGTTTTCAACGCTCAAGAATTTATGTTCATCTTGTTGCAGGACAACACGACACTCACGTACAGAGATCCTTCCTACACGATTGCTCACGTACTCATGCTGGCGCATCCGTACGGCCGGCCTACTGTTCTCTCCAGTTACACGTTCGACGACACGAACGCCGGCCCCCCGAACAACGGCACCGGCGAGTGCACGGGTAATGGTGGTGAGGATGATTGGTAAGTGGTTGAATAGGGCACTTCTCGTCTCGTATGCCGTTTTACGAGCCACGCATGCAGGCTTTGCCAGCACCGTTACCAGGCCATTGCCGGTATGGTGCCGTGGCGTTTGGCTGCCGGCAACGAATCGATGACCAACTGGACGTCGGCTAGCTCTCAACAGATTGCTTTCGGACGCGGATCTGTCGGGTTCGTCGCCATCAACAACGCCAGCTCGGAGTGGTCCACTACGTTCTCAACGTCCCTTGCCGCGGGTACATACTGCGACGTCATCACGGGCGGCTCGAACAGCTCTGGCTGCGCCGGCACCGAGTACGTCGTTCAGCTGCATTCAAATATTGTCTGTGCTAACCTTGTCCTTTCTGTAACTCACAGGATTACTGTTGGCAGTGACGGTACGTTCTCGGCATCCGTCCCCGCCATCGGTGCACTCGCCATTTACACGGGCTCGACGCCGACGTCCGGGTCGAGCACCTCGTCAGCTTCCTCTTCCTCGTCCGCATCTACCGTGCGTGCACCTCTCGGACTTGCGATTGTGTTTTGCCTTACCTTCCTTGCGGCATGGGCATGAACGCCTTAGTCAACATCGTAGGGTCTGCTTCTATAATTTGTATACCCACAGTTGATGGACATGTTGTGATGACTGTTTTGGTTTTCGTAGTCGAAGGCGTGACATCTCGATACTAACTGCGCTCGTCACTGTCCCGTGCATTGTGTTTGGTCACGCTTTCAAAAACTCATTAATCTACTCTCATGTATCCCTATGTGATCTATTATCTGTCGCTACTCGGTATCACATAGGCGTCAACTGCATACATCTTGAACTTTTTTTTGACTCCTTATTCTTGGGTCTCAATACATGATTCAAGCGTATACATACTTACACTATTTTCTATCTGAGGGACTTATTGGCATATCTTGAGGAGATTGGGTATCTTACATAAGCAACGTTTATGAAGCAGATCGCTCAAATATACTCAGCATGCGAGTGATTGCAAGAAATTTTACGAAGTCCTACGATTCCAAAATAAGAACTGTTGATGCGTACATATGACTCATGTCGGTTATTGCCAAATAAGTGCTCATGCCGATTTGGTAAATAAAGTTCCTTTACAGGTAATGCGATCTGATGCAAATTGACTCAGAGCTTTCTACGATCTGACTCGACGTTTATCCCTCTTTCTTATTTATTACTAGTCTGACCTTCTGAAATACCTCGAATACGGAATAATGACCATCCTCGGACTCCCAGAAACGTATAAGCCGAGTGGACCAAAGCACTTCGACATCGAGAAGGTCATTCGACCAAATATTCTGGCCTTGCACCCGTATCGCTGTGCGCGCGACGATTACCAGGATGGCATCCTCCTCGACGCGAATGAAAATTCCATGGGTCACTCGATACCTAGGTCGAGCGCGGTGCCTTCCGATCTTCAGTCGACGCTCGACTTGAAGCTGCACCGGTACCCCGATCCATCCCACCCGGCTATCAAGCAGCGTATCGCTGATTTGCGCGGCCTCCCTGGCACCGACTACGTATTTCTAGGCGTGGGGTCTGACGAAGTCATCGACCTGCTAATGCGCGTATGCGTCGCCCCTGGACAGGAGAAAATTCTGACTACTCCGCCCACCTATGGCATGTATGCCGTTTGTGCACAGGTGAATGATGTTGGCGTCGTCAAGGTTCCGTTAGAACTCTCTGCGAGTGCAGGGGAGGGTGGGGAACACGGACGGTTCAGCCTTCGAGTTGATGCTGTGCGTCTTATATGGGTATTTTATGTCTCCTCTGACTATAACGTGGTTTTCAGGTTAAAGCCGCCATCGACGCGGACCCTTCCATCAAGCTCGTGTTCCTCTGCTCTCCTGGGAACCCTACTGGAACGACCATTTCCCTGCAGTCGCTTAGATCACTTCTTGAATACGAGAAATTCAAGGGAATAGTGATCGTCGACGAGGCCTACATTGACTTCGCTGATCCAAGTTGCACTGCAGCATCCTTGGTACCAGAATTTGCGAACCTCTGTGTGCTGCAAACCCTCAGCAAAAGTTTCGGCCTCGCTGCAATAAGGCATGTGCCTTCCCCTTCCCATCTGATGTATCTAATCGCTTGTTATTCGTACTAGACTTGGCGTTGCACTGGCTGCTCCGCCTCTTATCCAAATCCTCACCAACACGAAGGCGCCATATAACATCTCTATGCCGACAGCGCATCTTGCGCTAGCAGCGCTATCACCTGAGGCAGTCGCTTCCATGCATGAGAAGGCTCGGGCGCTTATCAGCGGACGTAAATGGCTCCTCGACGCGTTGTCCGGGTTGCGAGAATTTGGCGTCGGGCCCGCCATAGGCAGGAACGAAGCCAATTTTCTCATGACGCCGATCTTGTCTAAGAAAAGCACAGGCGATTGGGCGCCCGATAACGCACGAGCGCAATCGCTGTACCGCATTATGGCGGAGGAGCGCGGTGTCGTGATGCGCTTTCGTGGGAACGAACCGGGCTGTGAAGCCTGCCTGCGTATCACCGTCGGCACGCCTGCGGAGAATGAAGCCGTCGTGACCTGCATGCGCGACGTGTTGGGGCGGATTTAGATGCATAGTGATCCCTTTTATCTAGAACTACAGTGCATTTCGCTCACTACCATCACTTCACTCAGTAAAGTAATGTAAAATTCTTTTTCCTGTAATTCCTTACCTAAAATCACGAAAAAATACTCAAAAAATCGGATGATGATGATTACGTCATTCGATTTATGAAATATATTTATTTTCCTCTTACAGGTATGGCAAAAAAAATGTCCATCTCAACTGATTCCGTCATCAATATGCGGTGAGGACAATATTGAAAAAAGATACCGTGTTCTGGTGAGTGAAATGGGCAGACCCTCGTTTCTATTTGTCTTCTTGTATGTATATAGCTACATAGAAATTACTTTCCTGGATAGGTCGTCAATTATGAGGTGCTTGACTTCGTCTGTAATGTTGAACACTATGTGCATGTGTGGGCCCGCCTAGCTCAATCGGATAGAGCGTCAGACTCTTACTTATAACCTAAATGTGTTAGGAGTATCTGAAGGCTGCGAGTTCGACCCTCGCGGTGGGCTGATGCCCAGGTAATCACCCCGCTTTTTATTACATATGTACATAATTATTGTTAGGCACTACTGTACTACGAAGTGCTTGGGCCGGATTTAGCAAATCAATTTCCTTTTACAGAATTCGGCGTGATCGCGTCCATACGCCTTCCGAGAACCACGTTCAACCTATAGGTTCAATCGAAGTTCTATCTAGCTCAAAACAGGCGTAAAGTCGAATGGGCAGGCATCTGTACTTATCGTACGACGGTTGTGACCTAAGGTGTCAGAGCTGGCTACCAACCATTCAGAGGAACAACTCTCCATGGCTCGGCTCCGAATCCTGTTATACGGCGCAATCTATGCCCTTGTTCTTGTCGGGAGCAGCTTAGCTCAGTCATGGTACAATTCTTAATGCTTATTCAGACAGAAAGTACGACAGTCTGAACTATTGGTGATAACCAACAGGTGCGGGAAGAACTATATGGAAGGGTCTCCAGTTGTACCTCCAGGCTCGTATCCTCAATTACCCTCTGGGCTTGTTTTAATTGCATTTACTGGTAGGCGGACAGTTTCCTGTGCCGCAGAGCTCAGAGGAACCGCTGCTTGCCTTTAAGTGCAGCCAAGCCGTGCTTCCGTATATCGCTGGAGACAGCGGCGCTCAAATCATCGTCGACACTAGTGTTGTTTATTCCTTCATCAACGGCGCGTCACCCATCTCTCTGTCCCAAGACCCCTCAGAGAATGTGTCGATCTCCATTTCTGCAGGCGGCATAGAGCTTGCTGCAGCTGCAGTGTCTCTGAATACAGCCAAAAACCTTGTGTCGTTCAACTTAAGCCAACTGAATGCGCGTGCAGAACCATACAATTTGTCTTGCGACGCGTCCTACGCTTCTCAAAGCTTTCATGCAAATAGCACACTTACGTATCTTCCCACTCTTCCTGATGATATCGGTTCTGTTGCCAAGCTAGACCTGCGCACTGGTGTGATGTTAGTGCAGCCAGCAGACGGCAGCGGTGGCGAATTCACACCTATTATACCGTTTGGTTTCTATACGAGCTTCGACGGTTTTCTCGCAACGAACTTGTCGATCCCTGCAGAGATCAAAGCGCGGGGGTTCAACATGGTACTTCGAGCGATCTTCGTAATTCATGAACTTACGAGTGCCTAGATTCACGTGGTTCCTGGCGGGACCACCATCGACGAAGAGACCCTCGGCCAGGTTCTTGATGCTATGCAAGCGGCTGGTTTATATTATGTGCATGATATGCGATAGTAAGTCCGTCGGGCAGCCTTCACTCGTCGATGTTTACAAGAACATCCTTTTGGCAGTGCGTACACGAATCAGACTGCCGTTACCGACCAAGTCAATTTCATCAAAGCCCGTCCTAACCTTCTGGTATGGTACACGGCTGATGAACCGGACGGCTCAGAGGACGCGCTGAACGCCACGTCCATCGCTCGTGCTCTCATCACAAGCCTGGATGGCGGCACGTACAGTGGCACAGGCACGGGGTACCACCCCGTTTCGCTCGTCCTGAATTGCCAGAATTACTACTTTAGTGATTATGCGGCCGGCGCGGACATCGTCGCAGAAGACGTATACATGATCGACATCAACGCAACTTACTCTATTGTCTGGGACACGGTATGTACGCGGGACTACGGTGACTGCGGATGCGACAATTGCATCGGCGCATTCGTCGACATCGCGAGGCGGGTGGACGAATTTCGTGCCCGCTTTGTAGCCGACGGATGGGTGAAGACTGTGTGGGGCGTGCCTCAGGCATTCGGCAACGCAACTTACTGGCCCCGTTACCCCACAGGTGCAGAGTTCGTGGTGCAGAGCATTGTATCGCTCAATCATGGGGCACGCGGTACGCTTTTATTTGCAGTCGGCCAGACTATTTGACTGCTCATGTAAATTATCGGGCTTCTCAGGGATTATGCCTTGGATCGATGGTCCGAGTACGCCTTCAGATATTCTTTCGAGCGCATCGGATTTAGCCAATGCGCTTGTGGCCATCACCTCATTCATCGCGGACCCCGCAGCCACAGTGGGGCAATATACGTCCGTTGATGGAGTAGACGTCGGCATCTGGCAGGCGGGAGAGAGAGCACTCGTTCTCGCGGCTAACACAAATTATGCCCCTGCTTCCTTGTCTGTGTATGATTTGGGTTTGTCTGTGGTTACCGAGCCCGTCCAGATATTGGACAGCGGTGCATATTCGAACACTGATACGCTTGTGTTCGATAGTGTAGGAGCGGGCATTTTCGTTTATGATCTGTAAGTGTTTCTTTTTCCTTTCATATTTTCGTGTATACCTGTTTTGTCTGCGTAATCGTATCCGAGTGCAAAATCGTATTCGAGTCTCTACTTTCGATGTATGCTCCAAGCGGACGCACGTTCATCTGTTTCTGTTGGGGAGTCCACGATCTGTGAACTTTGAACGTTTGAACGTTTGAACTTCCGTATTCGTTAATAATTTCGCCGCTTGGACACTGGTACGGACAGTGTGACGGAACAACAAATGAGAATAATTGAGTGGCAGGAAGGCTCGTAGATATCGCCGAGGTCAGAGGAAATATAGAGAGAATCTGTTGATGAAATACATACACTTAAGGCAAAGGAATCCAAAGATAGAATTGATGACCGCCAAGGTAAGTACTTCTAAACGTATGCTTACCTTCACGTTCACGATCGATCGATAGCATCTAATAAAATGTTATCCATTGGAAGTTAAATTCGAACTGGATTCAAGCGGTGCCGGTCAATCTGCAGGCTCGTGCGTTGGGATGTGACCAGCAGCACGTACTTACAAGATGCAGAAGCATGGGCCCTCCAGAGTGTCGGAGGTTGGCTTTTCAAGACAACCTGCTCTGCATCGTTTGTCCCATGTACATCGCATACTCCTTCACCAGCAACAACGGTGAATGTATTATGTGTTTTTGCGTCTCGGCGGTCATGGTAACGTCAATCCACATACATATTTTTATTCTCTTGAATAAAATAATGATTCACTGCTGCATGTCCGTTTAAAATTACGTACATCCATTGCTACGAACCAAAGTATACTGCCAGAACATGCTTTGCAATGGGAAAGCCCAAGAGAGAAAGGATGTAGCCGCCGAAAAGCGGTAGGATCGGTGTCAACAGTATATTTGTGTGAACCAAAAATGGCAGTGCTGAGATATAGATAAATGGTTGAAACCGCGTGACAGATGAGTTTGAAACACACCACTCAGACCCAGATATACGCCGTACGTATATTGTAAGAATGCGATCAGGTATAACGTGTTGCCCACCCAGAGGCATACCCAGTTACTCTGGGATACGTCAACGCGGACATTTCAAGAAAAAATACTATACTCACCCTTGTCACGATAGGCACAAGGAACAACTGGGCAATGTATAGTGTCAGGTACAAGGGAAAGAACGCATTGGTATGGACGTCAAAAGCGTAGGCCCATTCAACGCGAGAGTCGGCAGGCGTCGCATGGGACGGAGGAGAGAGGAGTAGGCGATTAGACGAAAACCTGGGGCGCGCCATGAGCCGATAAGGAAAAGGGATGCGCCGGTATACTGACCATAAGATACTCGCAATGATGATTCCAGTCAGGAAGTAATCACGCAGAATCATAAGAAGCGCGAGTCGAGCAGCCTGCGCTAAGCTGTACTTGTATACTACTGACCAGGCCACGGCCGACACTAATCACGTAAATCTCAGAGTCAACGGCCTTCGTAGTTTATACGCCTGCCACTTACCGCACAGACAGGCGGTAATCAAGACCAAGATGGCGGGGTCATCTCGCGCCCAAGTGTTTTTGGTCTCTAAAGTAGCATACCAATGAGTACGACAGATTACTCACGTATGGGTAGCACGGTAGAATCCGTACGTTTGTGGAAATAAACATTCCTGTATCTGTATTTACACCGTATAACTCAGCATACTTGGTGAACTGGACACGGAGACTCACACTCACACTCTCCGGGGCGCGAGACAAAGATATGTGAGCTGCCAGGCAGCAAGCTCAAAATCCATCTGATGAAACCGATGTAATCTGCGGAATATGAGGGGAATCGAGGGTGTCGGTCGTGCGAAGGGGCTGGACGACGTGGAACCATCCTCAAGACTGCTGGTATCGTTGGATGTGGTAGGGAGAACCATCGTCACGTGGGCGCGTGGCCGGCGAAATACAGTAGCCAGAATGGCTGAGATATGCACGCAAAACTAGAAAAAGGTGTCAACAACAACAAACAACAAGATATGCCACACTGAGCAAGGCGTTTCGACGGAGTTTGAATCGGAGTGCAAAAGCGTTCGAATTAGGCAGTCGGCCAATTGAGTTGTACGCTTCTGGCCTTTGGTCATTTCTTCTTTGTTCCCAACTCCCATTCACGCCATGGACGACGACAGCGAGGTTCTCGATTGGTCCGACGACGACCACTCTGTTCTCATGAAGGCGCAGCCTCCAGAAGACGACACTGTTTCGCTCGGCGACGATGACGATGAGCGCGAGTTCTACACCTTCAGCAAGCACACGGGGGTTGCCCCGCCAACGGAAAAGAACGACGCCAGCGGTACACTCGCGTCTCCAAATTCGGCTCCTGACTCTTCTTTTGAAAACGCAGTTCGAGTACCGTCCAGGACGGCGTCGAGGGCATCACATGTTGATCAGGCGGAGACTTCGCCACAAATTCGAGACACTACACCGCTGCCCACTTCGCGCACGTCTCCCAGACGCGAGCAGGCATCACCAGGAGGCTCCGCATCCATGTCGGTTTCTAAAATTCCTGGCCTTCCTGAGAAGCCAGTAGCGGCTTCTATCCACGCTTTCATGAATACGCCGAGTTCAGACCGTGAGCGCGGCAACAAGAAGTCTGGCGGTGGCGCCCCTCCTGCTGAAGACCCACTACCATCAGGTTGGGAAACGCGAAGATCCAAATCCAACGCAAACGATGTATACTATTACAACCCCCGTTCAGGTGAAACCACATGGGATCGGCCGACAGCAGTTCGTAGTTTCC